CCCTACACACACACACACACACACCATCACACACACACCATCACACACACACAGAACTGCTTCACCAAACACCTCTGACGATTTACTGTGTAATATTATAATATTACACCCATCAAGTCACATTTTTATCTGTATTTATCATACAATGTTTTTTAGATGGAAAATCACAAAGTTTCTCCTCATCCTCCCTCCCTCCCTCTCTCCCTCCCTCTCTCCCTCCCTCCCTTCCTCTCTCTCCCTCTCTCTCTCTCTGATGTTTTTCTACTAAATTGATTTATTACAGGTTTAAATGTGTTTTTAATTAACGTGTGAAGTGAAAAATGCCACAATAATCTGCTTCAGATGTTCAGTAACTACTGGGATGACTGTCACTCATTCTCGACTCTCACCCACGATGCATTTCACTCACTGTTTGAAAATCTTTTTTTTTTTTTCACCCGTGGCCGTCAGGCTGCTTGTGAGGCGGTCAAACTCTACGTGGACCAAACCCTGGGCTCCTACCTGGTCAATGTGACGTCCGCGGCCTCGCTCTGCAGCCAGGCTCTCTGCTCGTCTCAGGGCCGATGTCGGAGGACGGACCCCGGTTCCAGGACCTACCTGCACCTGGACCCGGCTGCGTGGAAGGTGACGTCGGAGGAGGAGTCGGGTGGACGGTCCCACTACAGAGTATCTGGTCAGATGAGTCCACGGCAGGTGACGTCCATGAAGTCCAGTTTTCAGTGCGTGTGTTTCCCAGGCTGGTCTGGTGAGAGCTGCTCCAGGTCAGACCCGGTCTGAGACTCGGTCTGAGACTCGGCCTGAGACCCGGTCTGAGACTCGGTCTGAGACTCGGTCTGAGACTCGGTCTGAGACCTGGTCTCTGTTTGTTCATTTCCTAATTAGTCCGTCTCTTAACGACCGGTGTTCATCAATTTCAATGTTTCTTTATTTTCATATTTACTAAGAAAAGTGTTTTCTATATGAATTAAAATGTTTCACATTACAGTCGTGTTCTTCTCCAAACGTTTGTCAACTAAAACATCTGACCTGGTGTTGAACTCATTTTAAATATTTATAAATTCAAATTTTTGGATTTTAATTTTAAGCTGAAGTGTACGTTAAATAGATAAAAGATAAACAGTGACGTAATTTAATTAATTCAATTCATTAATTTAATGAACCACATTTTTATATGTCTCTCTACATTTTTTACATCAATAGATTTTCATGCTGAGGCGTCAACATTGGTTAGTACTTAGTTTGAGCAGCAGGGGGAGCTGTGGGACAACTAACTGGACCCAGTGTTGGGTCATATTCCTGCAGAGGAGAAACAGTATTATCCGTGTGTTTGTGTCCGACAGTAACAGTTGATAAATCGTAGTGAGTTATCTGAGGTCGTGACGTCATCAGTTTCTCTGCTGAGGTTTGAAAGTCAGGAAACCCAGACGTCTGCAGTCTGTAGACTGGTACAGACTGGTACAGACTGGTACAGACTGGTTCAGACACTTTAGACAAACTGAATGTGTTGTTGTTTTGAACAGTTTGTGTTTGTTTATCAGAGTTTCCACAGACACAAAACAAACAAATAATTATTATATAAACCTGTAACTGCCTGATGAAAACAACAATATTCTCAGAATGATTGACACTTTTACATAATTAAAGATGTTTTGTTGTTGATGTAGCCCAGCTGACACACGCCCCCTCTGTTTGGACAGGGAGGCTGCATGCTGACTTCAGATATTAAACATATTTTTTTCTTTCAGATTCAGGTTTTCACAGTTTAGGTCATTTCTATAATTAATATTGAAATATTTATAAATTAAGAACATTATCATCTATAAACAGTTGAGGATGAGAATAAACACCTGCTGCAGCCAATCCAGAGCTGATGATGATGAAGATGATGGTGATGAAGGTGATGATGAAAGTGATGGAGATGATGATGATGATGATGGAGATGATGATGATGATGGAGATGATGATGAAGGTGATGATGGTGAAGATGATGATGATGATGGTGATGATGATGATGGTGATGATGATGGTGATGGTGATGAAGGTGATGGTGATTTGATTAGTGTATCTGTCTGGAAAGTAAAGTCTGTCGCTGGTTCAAACTAATGAATGAATGATTGAATGATGAAGTGGTGAATGAATGGTGAAGTGGTGAACTCCTGAACTCGTGAACTCGTGAACTCCCAGCCGTACGTCCTGGTCACTTCTCCAGTTCACAGCAGACAGAACAACCAATCACCTCTGAGTCCAGGGCTCTGAACAGACAGACTGTACAGAGACACCATGGACTGGGACTTGAACCAATGACCTTTTTGCTGTAAAGCAATGTCTGTGATATCCATCCATCAGTGCAGACCCCCTGACCCCCCCCCCGACCCCCCAGTAGGGAAACACACAGACCAACACCTAGTTGTGTAACAGTGAGATTATTCCACAGTGGGAGGTCACAGCAGAAATGTCATGGTTAGTCGTAACCTTTACCGCAGCACATTATCTGCCCTGATCGAGGGGTGAGGCCAGGACGGGGGAGCGACTCCCTGCTATTGGTTTTGAAAGGTCCCCGTCTAAGTCATGCCCCCCGGCTTTAATGCCTCCCCCGTAGTCGAGCAACAGCCGCCCTGTACGGAGCCCTGCAAACTATCAAGGCACCGAGCTGCCCCAACAAATCTGCATCACCCCCCAACACCCC